TGTATAATAAAGTTGATAAAAGGAAAAAGAATTTGAAAATAAGTGTAGTGATATTAATTTGGTTGTGTTAAGAAAGAGATTTGTAGAAGATAGGTTTAGAGTAGGCCAAGTTATATTGATAGAATTAGATTGATTTAGTTGTAGAATTTGGATGAACCATTGTGGTTGACAGCCTTTAGTTGATTTATTTGTATGTAAATATATATTGTTCCATGAAAGAATATTTTTGTTATCTGCAGTTGTAATTTGTTCTAAGAAAATAATTTTGTTGTTTCTAAGACTATTGATAGTAGTAATAGGTAGATTAAAAGGAAGAATATTATAGATAATATGAGAGTTTTTTGGTATTGATGAAGAATAAAGAGAGATTTGTAAATTAATTGTGGAAGAGATGTTATTTAGAGCAAGTTAAGAAAGGTGAAAGAGTAAAGTATACTTTTGTGTTTTATGATGATAGTTAATTAAGATATTAGTTGAGAGTTGAGGAGATTATATTTTGGTTAGCCAGCCTTTAACTTGTTGTATGCCAATGTTTTTGAGAATTGGTAGTGTGTTAAAAATACATTTGGTATTAGATGCACTAACTTTTTGAATAATATTATTGAAAGATGGTAGATTAAAAGTAAGTGGATTGGTAAGCATTATATTGTTAATGTTTTTGGCTAGTGATAGCATTTTTTTGGTATGAATAGTAAATAGGCAAATAAATTTAGATTGTGTATTTGCATGAATTGGAGTGATTTGAAGTAGATATTCTAAAGAAGTTTGTAAAATTAGATTAAAGAGTGCTAAAATTTGTAAGTGTATTACTTTTTTGTATCGAATAAGAATAAGAAAGTTTTCAATTTTATTTTGAATTTGATTAAGAGTTGGTGTAAAGAAACCTTTACTATCTTAAACAATACCAAAATAGTGTATAACATCTTGAGGTTTTCTAGAAAGAATAAGTTGGTTGCTTATTGTAAGAAAAGAAGTTGAGTTTGATGAGAATTTGGATTTAATATGAAGAAGATCAAATTTGGAAACATTGATTTCTATATTATTAAGTTTATATAATATAGAAGTATCATTTATAATGTTTTGTATTATATTTGCATTTTTACAATGCCAGGTAGTATCATCTATAAAGGCCAATAATGGAATTATTATTGAAGAGGGTGTTGTATTTGTTATAATATTGATAGGAGATTGGCATGAAATTTTGAGTAATAGTTTTTGTATTTTTTGTGAATAAAAGAGAGTATAAGGTTATAATAAATTTTTTATAATAATGGTGAGTATGTTTCATCTTGTTCAATACCAGAGTTGATTGATATTGGAGAAGTAAGACTATGAGCAATAATAACTCTGACAAAGCAATAAGAGTGTAGTTCAGTGATAAGGTTGATTCTTGTTGAGGGAATTCCTATTCTTTTGCATGTGTCCTAAAGTCTTGATATGTTAATTTTATCAAAAGCCTTAGATATATTTTGAAAGAGAATCCAGGCTTCTTTATTATTAACTTTGTAATATTCGATTGTATTATGTAAGATTTGTATAGGAAGATGAATTGAGAAGTTTTTGGTAGCTGCAAAGTTTAAATTTGATAAGAAATTGTGACTTAAAATAATATTATCTAGTCAGTTTGTAAATATTTTAGTAAAAACTTTTTTGAAAGATTTTATTATTGAGATTGGTCAAACTTGATTTAGTGTATAGTCCCAGTTTGATTTTTTAGAAATTAAGAAGATGTTAGAAGATTTTCAGTCTGAGGAGATTTTCTGCAGTTGAAAGCATTTGTTTAAAAAGAGTTGAAAGATGTTTTGTGCTTTGAGACTAGAAAATTTTATGTGTTCATAGCAGGTTTTGAGAGATCCTGCTGCTTTTTGATTAGGTAGATTATGGATTAGGTTTTGCCATTCTTGTTCAGATATATTATAAGTGAGGTTTTGATAATGGATTTCAAATTTAGGATGTGGTTTATATAGTAAGAAGTATTCAGATAATGATAAAATAGTTTCAAGAGGATTGGTTTTAAAATATTCAGTGAAATGATGTTTAATTGCATTAAAAATTTTCTCATGTTCTGTAAGAAGATTGTTGTTAAGAAGTAATCTATCAATATGAATATTGTTATATTTTTTAAGTATTTTTTTATAAAAAGGTTTAGGTGTTTCTTTAAATGATTTGTTTCAATCTTCTATTTTTTTTTGATTTCATCATATATAAATTGTTGATATTAGTAATTAAGTACAGTTTTAATAAGTTGAAATTCTTTTTAACTTGGGCTAAAGAGAGTAGAAGTGTTTGAAAAGAGCAGTCTAGATATTTAGTTTGATATTTGAAAAGTAGTGTGTTAAAGTTAATTGAGTTCATGTGATTTTTAAGAAATTGTATTTTTTTATAGCAGAAATAGAGTAGAAAGTGTTTTGATGAAGGTAAATCTTTAATTTCTTTGATTGTTTTAATTTTTTTAAAAGAAATATGTTTGGTTGAAGCTTTAATTAATGCTTTGTAAATTTTATTCCACATAGTTTTAAGTTAATTTTGATTTGCAATTGATAGGATTTTAGAACCTAAGTGTTGAAGATTTTTGGTTGTTTAGTCAATGTAGTTTTCAAGATTTTCTTTAGTGCAATTTTTTCAGAGAAAGACTTTGTGTTTGTGTTGTTTATAAGATTTAGATTTATTAATTATAATAGAAATTTCTAGAGTTATAATGTAGTGATCTGATTCAATTATGTCAGATGTAAGGATTTCTGTATAATCAATATTAGTAATAGATAAGTTAATCCAAATTTGATTAATTTGGCTTTGTATATTGTTATGACTAAAAGTAAAATTATAAGTGTTTGGATAGAAAACTCAAAAAATATCTTTAAATTGAAAACTGATTAAATATTAAATGATTTGACTTTCAGGAATTGATGATTTTTTTGAAGACAATCTGTCAATTCTTGAATTTGGTATACTGTTTAGGTTTCCCATAATAATTAATTTGTAATTGTTATTTTGAGTAAGAGAAATTAAATAATCTTGAACTTCTTTGTAAAGTTGTTTTTTCTTGTAAGTTAGGAAGTATATTTAAATAAGCCTGATTAACATATTTTTGAAATAAAAATCAAAACCAATTATATGTCCATTGAAATTATGAGACTTGGTAATATATTTAGAGATTTTTTGATGAACAAAAATTCCAACTCCAGCTTGATAAAGATTTGTATATAAGCTTCAGAAACTAACATAGTTTTGAATTTAATTGCTTAAGAATTTGGCTTCTTTAAGTAATAGATGTGTTTCAGAAGTCCAAAAATTTCAAAATTTTCTTCTTGTAAAAGTTCAGTTAAAGCAAATTTTTTATTTATTTGTGAGAGACCATTAATATTTATTGAACCAATTTTAATTGGAAGAGAAGTATGTTTAGATGAAGTTAATGATAAGGTGGTTAAAGATGGTGTAGGAGTGTTTGGATTAGGTAGTTAATTAGATATGGAAAAGGAGGTGGAATTTGTATCAGGTATTTTTCAGTTGAGACTAGATAGTAAAGATAGGTGGTCATATGTTTTGTAAAGAGAAGGATTTATTGTAATATGGTTTGGTAATGTTTGATCTATATCATTTAAGTAGTTATATGTTTCTGTTTTGTTAAGGTTTATAAATATTTTTATTGAACTAAGATAAAGATTGTCATGTAAGTGTTGAATAAAATTATCAAATATAACTGGTTCTAGTATTTGAGATAAGTTGTGGTATTTTATAAATTTGTTGTAGCATTTGTCTATCTCTGTAGAGATTGAAGCATTGAAAATAGAGATAGTATTTGTAATGTCTTTTACAGATTTGCTTACTGTTTTAAGCTTGGCTTGCACAGCTGTGAAGGATACCATAACCTGCCTTGTACATTGGGTCTGGTCATCATAATCCTGGTCCTTCACTAGTGTTTCTAATCGTTAGTTGAAAAGTCAACTAGTTAACAACTTTTTAACTAATTGATTTAAAAAAATTGAAAACAACTAATTGATTAACTATCAACTGAATCAACTACAACTAATCATTAGTTGTCAACTAGTTGCCAACTAACTATTATTTATATTAATCAACTATATTAAAAAAGGATAACGTGTACATATGTATGTATGTATGGTGCAGTAGATCTAAACTAACTTATTAGAGATAAACTAAAACATGCTATTACATACACATTGTTCTTTGCTTATTGTTTTTATGCAAAGAGATTGTGAGTTCTAGTCCCTTTGCTTATGAGATCAAAATTTAAGAAATTTATTTTCGGTATGCCACTTGTTATAAAGATATTGAAGTTTTTAAATTTTTATGTACGTACATATGTACATACGTATAAAGTAATTGTATTACATAGTCTTAATTGGCAATTGGTTAGAATAATAAAAGTTAACATGTGCATAGTTTATGTATACTATATATGATTTCACATAAGCTTATGATAATACATATAATTTTGCATGAGCTTATTTAACATGCATATGATTTCACATAATTTTTATTAAATTTAGCAAATAGTATAAAAAGAAAAAAAAAACTAGGAGTTTTTTCAATAAAAGTCATTGAAAATTTTTTTTATTTTGTTATTCTTATAACCAACATGTGAATTAAAGATTGGTTGTTATTAGTAAAGAAAAGAATGATACAAATAGACACGCCATATGATAAAACCTACCAGTTCATTCCTGTGATATTAATTGGTTTTTATATAATTCAAACTAGGTGAATATGCAGTTAAATGAATTACATGAATTAGCATTAGTAAATTATAATATGAAGAAAAATATATTAACATTAATAATCAATTTGCTTATATTGATAAAAATCATATCGATTTAAGTCTGAATATTAACTTGTATAGAACTCGTTTTCGTGGTTTTATGATTTGTAATATGTAAGTATCTTTAATGCCAAAAATTGAATGTTCAATAGTATAAAAGAGTAATAACAAAGAGAGGAAGGGGTTTTGCTATTTGGTTATATATTGTAAAAGGTTCATGATGAATGATTCTGATAATGAATTTAATTTTTTATCTGGCCAAGATGAAGAAAGTGATATCAAATTATTAGCTTCAACATCTACATTTACTCCAGCTTTATCTACCTCGGCTTTGTCTACTCAAAATACAAAGGTTACTAAAAAAAAATAAAAAATAAAAACACCTGGTAGTTTTGTTTAGAAGTTTTTTGAAAGATATACTGCATTGGAATTATTAGATAATAAAGAAGTAGAAATAAAAAAGGTTTCTTGTAAATTTGAAGATTGCGATACAGAATATGTATGGCTAGGATCAACCAGTAATTGTATAACCCATCTTCATGATATACACCAAATCACCAAAGAATCACTTAAAAATATATTAGTAAAAGCAAAGCAACAAACGATTTACCAAGTAATTTCAAGACCTCATTCTTCTCATGTTTAAAAAAAGCTTACATATTAATTTGTATGCTACATAATTGCATATGCTTAGCCTATTTCTATTGTTGATGATGATGATTTTAGGCTTTGGACAAAAAATCTTGATCCCCAATTTAAAGTTCCATGTGTTAATACTATTAAAACCATTATATTTAACTTCTATGATTCTGCAATAAATCAAATTATAGATCTTATTTCAAAGACATCAGATACTGTTTCTTTAACCTTTGATCTTTGGTCATCGTGAGCACATGATAGCTATCTTAGAATTACTTGCCACTGGCTTACAGATTCATTTAATTTGCACAAGATCGTACTTGACATTGGAGAGTTGGATAAACATCATGCACTGATATTGTTGAATCTGTTAATTTTGTTCTTAATAAATTTAAAATTAATTGTCAAAATGTTTTTTCTATTACTACTGATAATGAATCCAATGTCAGATCTGCAGTGCAACAAATGTGTATTTCTAATGTGAAATGTGCTGGGCATATGCTTCAATTGAGTGTCTATTTAGGTTTAAAGGAAGTTGATGAAATCATTTCAAAATGTAAAGCACTTATCTCAATTTTATCAAAAGAAAAAAAATGTAGACAACTTTGTGAAGCTCAATTACAGATTACTTCAGGGCTTAAAGAGCCACTTGATATTATTAAAGATGTGGATATACATTAGAATTCTATTCTTTATGCTATTGAACATCTTGTATATTTAAAATCTGCTATCATACAATTATACTTAACTCTTACTAACCATACAATTAGAGAGGTCAGAAAAGGAGCAGAAACTATGGGCCCTTATATTCTCTCTTCAGAAGAATTTGAATTATTAGAAGAACTCATTAAAGTTCTTTCTCCTTTTGATGAAGCCACTCAATTTTTAAGCAGATCAAAGTATCCAACACTGGGTTTCATAACACCAATTTTGAAAGAACTTGCTCGTCAGTTTAGATATTTTATTGGACAAAATAGTATGGCAATTCTTGTTAAAGATACAATTTTAGACAATTTAATTGAATGATGGAGTGATCCAAATGAAATAGGCATGTGCTGCTCATTCCTCGATCCATGTTTTAAAAAGCTAAATTTCTGCACTAGTGCTTTATAGCATACAACTATTCAAAATATGTGTCAACAATTTAATAAGCTATGTCCAATACAAACCTCCAATGATAATCTAACATCAACTAATGATAATAATCCATCTTTAACATCTTCATATCAATGTAAAAAAACCAAGATATCAGCATTTTTTACACATT